AACTGTACTAAACTGAAATCGAATTAACTACAAAACTGCATACCCAAAGATTTTGACTAATATATTTTCCTTCACCTCTTAAATAATTTATTTGTTTGGCTTTTAAGTTAAAATTAAAATATAAAATTAAAATGAAATGTAAGCCGCTTTAATAGTCATTTATTATACATTTCATGAATATACAATAGTATATGAATTTTGGTACGATGTTTGTATTCACAAAAAAAGACGGTTCATGCTTTAACATGAATTTTACAGGCTATAAAAATCATACTCAAAAATTTTCATATTAAAAAGTTTTAAATGTTGTGAATATTTGTTGAATTTTTCTAAGCTCTATAAAAAAACTAGAAGTTTGATTTTTATGGTTTTCGTTAAAGCACGCACCGTATTAAAAAAATAACAAAGACGTTTCAATTTTAAAAACTTTGCTAATATTTAACAATAACCACCGTGTACTTAGTATTGTACCTCCACTTGTGGTCAGCTTATTAATTTAAGTGATATTTTGACCAATTTTGGCTACATTTCTTTTATGTATTTAATGTTTATAATTTCTTTATATAAGTTTAGCAAATTGCATAACCAGCTCCGCAGAAATCCACATTTCAAACTCATTACAAAAATTTTAAAATTCAACAAAGTTTAACCATTACAAACTACTAAAATTTAACTGGCTATAAAACTGCATCGCTAAAATTTTTCTGAAAAATTTCATCAAAAAGTTTAAAGTTTTTGGGTGTAATTGTTAAACTTTGTTGAATTTTTAAATTTTGTAATAAGTTTGAAATGTGGATTTCTGTGGAGCTGGTTATGCAATTTGCTACACTTTAATAAAAAACTATAAACATTAAACAGATAAAAGAAAAGTAGCCAAAACTGGTCAAAATGCCACTTAACTTAATCGAATTACTGTTTTTCATTTCTATTTTTATCCGTTGCACTATTTTCGTGTTTTTCAATTTCTTCGTAGGCCATTTGAGTAAATTTGGCCCCCAATATATTCGCCGTGCTTTGTGGCAATTGTTGTAGAAGCGACTCCAAATGCTTCAAAAGAGGCTCAAACTTTGACTTCTGAGCCATCTCCGCTTTACGTAGCTCCACTATGTTGCCCATTTGCTCAACAATCTTCTCTGCCGAAGATTGCATTAAAGCCGCGCTAGAAACATTTGAGCGCTTTTGGGAAGTACTGGGCGTCAGCATCTGGAAAGAGAAGGAAAGGCATTCATAAAATTGTTTACATTAATAAAATATCGTAGATTAAACTAATTCTTACATAATTATAACCGGGGGAAGGCAAAAGTTCCTCGGAATTAGTTACTGCTCTTCCGCTGTCCATACTTGAAAATGTTCTAAAATATTCAGTTTACCTATGCATTAAAAAAAAAAAACGCTTTAAAAATTTACTTACACCCTTTGCGAAGACGTTTCATTTAAAAATGACATGTCCTCGGAATACTCAAACTCAGCCACTTCACCAGCAAAGTTGTAGTCCTCTAAATCGCAGGCGCTTCCCGATTTTTTGGCCTTGTTGGCGTAGTACCGCTTACTATCCCTTAAGCTCTTCCACGCTGCTTTACAAGATTCCTCTAAAATGTTGATTTGTAACTAAATGCACCATATCCGAATAATTACAACTTACCAGGTTTACCGACCATTTCGCTGATTTTGTACCAAGCACTGCTTAGTACGTTTCGGTTGCTGTGGTCCTTCCTCTGTTTATCCCAAATACAAGGGAATTCTTTTACTGCCGCCAGTAGTTTTTTCCTCTCTTCCTCGGAGAAAGAAACGGTTGAGTTGAGTTTTTAAAGTTATTATTTTTAAATAAACTCACTTTTTCCAATGTTTGCTTGCATGATACAAATATAGTAAGGTAGAACCGCTGAGAGTCACTTTTAAGATTCTTGACGTTTCCAAACAATTTAATTTTTAAATTTACTCACAAACTCACACACACATTTTCATTTTCAATCTCAAGCAACAACAATTTCTAACAATTTCAATTTTTTATTTTCACTTTTATATGATTTTAAAATGTTGGCAAACCTCAAAAAAAAATCATGGCCGACAAATTGAGAGAACGGTTATACCTTGCTATGTTTTTATCATGTTTGCTTGAATTTCAAATTCACCAACAGCTGTCAATTTCAACGAGCTGTCACTTTTTGCTCAGTTTTAAATGACATGTGCATTTTAAATAGGTGTGAAAAAATGTTGCTGGCATCATGTTGCTGGCATGTTGCACGGTGTTTTCACTGCGTGAACAGAGTACTACAATGCTGTAAGATACATGTGGAATTTCACGCATATTTCACGGCAATGCATTTTGTATGGATTTTGACAGCCATTTCACGTGAAACGGGAACAGAATACTATGCTTAAGGTGTTAGCAAATAAGGCGCTAAATCATAGCCTTAGCAAAATAAAAATAATCGATAAATAATAAAACGTTTGAGTTGTATGGACGTAGTATTTTAACCCTTGTGTTAATACCCGGGTACCAGGGTACCCACAACAGCACCTTTTTCCGTATAAGTCGGGTATTAGTTGACATTTCTTTCCCATCCTCCGGATCGTCGCTATTTAGCTTAAATAAAGGAAATTGGACAATTGAAAATAAAAAAATTGTGTTATTTATCAAAAAAATAATCGACTTGTAATGTAGTATTTTGTAGTTTTTTTTTCTATTATACGCACGTAATTCGTAAAAATAACTATCTTCTTCTTCTTTTTTGGCACTGTACCCGCCTAAACGAATTTGGCCAAGTTCAGCAAAGCACGCCAGTCGTTTCTCTTCTGTGCCAACTGACGCCAATTGGAAACGCCAAGTGAAGCCAAGTCCTTCTCCACCTGATCTTTCCATCGCAGTGGGGTCTCCCTCTTCCTCTGCTACCACCAGCGGTTTCCGAAATGAATACTTTCAGAGCTGGAGTATAACTATACTATATAACTCATTAGGAAAACAAAAACGATTAAATAATCACTTTATTTATAGCAAATATTATATTATATGATGTTTTTGGAATGTTCGTCACATAGCGCTTGTTCACATTCCCAGCAGTTCTTCCTCGTTTTTCGTCTTTTTTTCTTTTCCTGTTTATTGCAAATGAAACCACAACCAGTTACTTCGATTCTTCCTGGTGCATTTCGTTCAATTGAAGGGTTTGTCTTAACATCCACAGTAATTTTTTGACGACCTATGATGCTTTCAATGGCGATTTTGTCGTATAATTTCTCATTATTTGTACGTTTGTTAAACGATTTTAGATGTTGGTTTTATTAACTCCTCGCTCAATTGACGCATATACAGCCGTCACTGGTTACTCTTTCATGGACACCAAATACGGTAGAGTACTGCTCTCAGGCCCTCTTTGGGGCCCATTATGTTTCGTATGTAGGGCTTATTTGTTCTCAAATTACCAACAAGAGTACAATTCCATGAAAGCAAGTGCTTGCAAATAGACATACATAGATGTAAAGACAATGTCCATACATACATTTATTTTCGCCTGTGCCTTTGTTTGCGAAAGCACATGTGCGTGTATTTTAATGTAGTTAGGGGACTCCGATATTATTTTTGAAATTTTTCTTACTAAATTCTCTTAATTTAATCTATATTCACAAAAAAAATTCAATCCGCAAAATGGATTTGTGAAGAATAGTAAAACAAATACTGTGTGGGTACCCGGGTAGCCCGGGTGCTAGACAACGTAAGAAAATTTGGGTATTAACACAAGGGTTAAATACGTAATAACCAAGTGTTATCTGAACCTCGGTTATACATTGGCTCTAATTGTGATTTTAAACCGGACATTTGAAAAACCATTGAGTCAAGCGTAGCCCCTGGGTGCTTGGCACTCATGTATTTGATATTCATCAAATCGTCACACATCTAAAAGTGAAGAAAAACTTTCTTTAACTTGCACGTACACATACTACACGGAGAAAAAGGATTAGTTTCGACAACTAAAGATATTGGTGCATATTCATAGTCATATTTAGTTCACAACTAAGTCGAAACTATCCTAAGTTACAACTAAAGCTATTCATAGTCGCCTTAGTTTCGACTTTTCTGGCTAAGCACCAACTTAAAATTTAGTTTCGGCTGCAGCTGCAATTAAGTCGTAACTACGAAGAAGTATTTTATTAAACTAAGGAAAAAAAGACAAAATATGTAAAAATTAAGTTGGCAGAGCGTGCTTTTGATAATATTGAATGAGCTCCAATTGAAATTTACAAAGAGCGATCCATTTGAATCGGAAGATGAAATTAAATGCGTATTACAATTCGAATAAGGCTACATCACAATTTTATAATTGGAATGATTTACATATATATATGCTCAAATAATAAGTCAATTTCAAGCTTGTTCTTTTAAAGCAAATTAGTGCATAACATTTAGGTATGTGTTTGTATGTTTCACAGCATGCTTTCGACATCGACTTCACATCATTGCGGTAGTTCTGGCTATTTCATACAATTAACAAGAAACGTATACCTTATTCTTTTGCATAAACATGCAATGAAAGTAAAAATTACATAAACGGATGATCAAACTTGACATTATTTAATAAAAATGTCATATTTCCAAAATATCGTAAAGAAAAATCGATACATTTTCACAATCGTTTTGCAATATCGTAAAACTAAGTTAAAACTACTTAGTAGAAGTCTGAAATGCGACTATGAATAGAAGTGAATTTTAAGTTGGTACTTAAATTTAGGTTGCTACTTTATTAGTTTCGACTTAGTGGCTGGACTATGAATACGCGCCATTTAGTTTCCGAATTTTGACAATATTTGGGAACTGTTACCAAGGATTGGGAACTATTACCATGGGTTGGTAATTATAGCTAAATATATTAAAGCTTCTGATATTCATCTAGGTTGTAACAAATCGTTAATTTAGTTGAAGGGTTTGGTAAATACTAATCAATATTTCTTTGAAGCATATTTCTACGAATTCCATTCAACTTAACGTATTGTTCATAAAAGGATGTTATTAAGCTCTTCTAATGCAACAAATGGTTTCTTTCAACACATGGTTAAGTCAGAGTTACCAAATCTTAGTTGAGGCAACCGCGATGTGGTTTGAGAACGGAAAATATTCATGCTTGTAAGCCACCCCTAAAGGATGCTGAGCGCTCTCTGAGCACATGTGTGTTTCACATACGAAGAGCGCCAGCTGAGCAATGCACACAGTCCCACCATGGTTGCCAATCGCCAACATTTTTTTCTACCAAAATCTCTTAAGAAAAGTTACCAAAAGTTACCAAATCTTCAATACCAAAATCTTCACTTCTTCACTGAGAAAAAAATATACTGAATAAAACTGCTACATTTCATAACAAATGTGTATGTACTTTCAGCCCGATTCTGTGCACTTAATAAATTCAATATTTTTTATAAATTGTCAATTTTCGATTATTTATGAAAAACTGCCAGGGCATGAATCACGTAACTTTGAAACGATAGTCGTTCAAACGATACTGACAAAACGATGTTGTCAAAACACTGATTTATGCATTTGTGTTGCTGTTACGTGTTACTGTTACTGTTACGTGAAGCAAGACTGGATCGAGTTGACGATATCGCACAAACGATCAAACAATTTTTGATTTTTATGAAGCAAGACAATCTCGACACGATATCGTTCAGACGATTGTCGTCATACGTGATTTATGCGCAGTTCTAGCAAAGAAGTTTAAATCTATTTTCTTGATAAATTATCAAGATTTAAAATGCTATTGACAATTATAATAATTTTTTTTATTAAAAAATATTGTTCTATCAATTAATTACTGCATGTGCCGATATTCTCGTTTTCGTTGTTGGTGTTTCCGATTTTGGTGTGGAACGATTTTTCGTCATCTTTTGGCAAATTTGGTTTGACGACAACCCGGTTTCGGCGTTGTACCATCTTCAGTGTCATTTTTCGTTCGGAATGTGCCGATATTTGAACCTGCGACTCACGAAATAATAGCACCGGCATATAAAGAAGTGCTTTGAACCGAAATTTTGAGCTATTTTTCGGTTTTTCATAATTTACTGTACGTGTCAGACGGACCTCAGATTCGGATTCTGTGGGTCGAAATACATGTCGGTAGGTGGGACTGGTAAAAAGCACGCGACATTTTTTTTGTGCCGGAATAATCAAAACGATTTGTGGACCTTACCAAAAATTGCCAGATGGCCGAATTTTTACACCATTTTTACTGTAGAATTCAAAATGTATCGCAAACATTCGAAAGTTGATTCAGAAGTGCAGCCCGTGGTGCTGCCACTGTAATTCAAATATTTCCAGTATTCGAATATGAGATGACTCAAATTTTATCGAAGTAAATTTGTAGAAGTGTCAGTAG